CCCTGCACTGCCTGAGTTTGCCCTCCCCGCCCGGACGCGCCCCACCCCGCCTTGGCCAAGCTTCTGGGCTCCCCGCGGCTCCGGGGTGCCCCGCCAGGCGCTAACCTCCCGTACAGGAGCTGCCACCCCCACAGAGACCGCAACCCACGGCGCGGCCGGACGCGAGGGGCGGGGGGCAGTGGCCGGACCGCATAGCCGCCTACGGTGTCCCCTGCGGGGAAGTAAACCCAAAAGGCAGGAGGCCGCTCATAACCTGGTGCCCCACCCTAGCCCAGGAGACGCCCTCTCAGCTTGGTGGAGCTGAATTCTTTATCAACCCGGTGCACATCCCACGGCCGCCCGGTGTGAAGCTGGCAGTAGGGCATCAAGCCTCCAGAAACACTGTTGAGTTGGAAACACAGTTATAAGGAGAAAGAGGAAGTTGCAAAGGAATAGGCCAAGGTGTAGAGAAGAGCGGATAATGGTGACATCAACAGAATACGGGAGGAACCCCCACTGACCACGTTAAAGTAGGGCAGCACAGATAGCAGGAGCAGGGGCTTGCTAAGATGCAAAAAACGATTGAGAGCCACCGGCATACAGAAGCTACTAAATAATTACTCTTTGAGCTTTACAAATGAAGAAGGACAGCCGAACACATGGAGGCAGCTAGAGAAGTAAACATGGGTTGTGTGTGTATTTTAATAAGACATTCAGGAAAGCTGAATGAATTTGGATTCATTCCGTTAAAACTAGAAAAGGCAAGTGTATTAAAAACAAACACCACCACCACAACAAACTATGTGATTTGGTTGCAACATTTTCCACAACTTCAACAGAGACAGAAATAAAAGGGTGAAAAATAAAAAAGTTTAAAAATTCTCATTTCAAGAAAATTAATAGGTACAGTTCTTTTTTTGATGCTTATGTGCCTGATATATGGAAGTTACTAGCTATTATTATACTAAGCATTCTACTTGCATTATCTAATTTAAATTTGCAACTACAAATGAGCTATTATTATCCCCATTTTACAAATGAAGATTTTGAAGTTAGAGAAGAAAAGCAACTTGCTCCTGGTTGAGGGATTCAACCCCCCCACCTCCCTCTGACCCCAGAGCCCCAGAGCCCTCACCAATACAGGATCTCTTTCTGTGCATCATGCACCCATTCAGTACAACCTGGGTTTTGGATGTTGGAAGCTTTTCACAGATATACTCACATCATTTTCTCTGAATCAATTTTGTGAACACAAATTTAGAATTGGAAGGGACTCAATAGAGAGTGCTTAATCCAAGCACATCATATGACAGAAAAGGAAACTGAGGCCCATAGAAGGGAATTTAGGATGGCTCCACCAGGGTGGAAGGATAACTGTCACTTGGAAATGGGTCTTTTCATTTGCTCCCCTTTGCCTGTTCTTCCCCCCCACACCCCATGTTCGATCTTATATTTGCATTCGGATTCTGTGTCTCCCAGTCACAGATTACTCCAACATTATTTCTTTTTCTTGAAAGATTTTGAAGTGCTTTTACACGTTTTCTGGGGCTCAAGAATGATCCCTGCAATATTCCCCACCCCTTCCCTCTCTCCTGCTTAGATTTCCTGGGCACACTACTCAGCGGGTCAGTACCTGTCCCAACCCAAACAAATAGGGACTCTCTGTTTTTCAGAGGACCAAAAAATAAAATCCCATAGGCTTCCATCATCACCTATCTCAGTGTTTTATAATACTGTTTTAGAGAAGTTTTGCCTTCAAGTCAATCTTTCTTTCATCCTCTCTCTCTTTACTAATCAGCTCCTTTCCTGTTCTTCTGGCCTTACAGATGAGGACCATTGTCCTGCTTATAATCTCATATGCATGGTCTTGAAGAGCTGTTAATTTCATTTCCAGTCTTCTTAGTTCTCTAAGTGAAAGACAATGTCTTTAAGCTTCTCCCAGAGGTTCTAACTTATAACCATTTATTAACTTTGCCATTCTTCCTCTCATTTCTCCTCTTAAACTGTGATCCTATAGAATACAAATCTCTGGTAAAGATCTGATCAGCATCAAACAAGAATTACTTATGCAGTGCTGATACAGTTTAGCATCAGAGTGCTTCTATAGCAGGGGAACATTGGTTTAGATTATGTCCACTAAACCTAGATCCTCCTCTGCCTGGCTAACTTAGGAGCAGTGATCAGGGTGTGTCCTGGGAGAAGCAGATTGGGCGGGCTAATAAATTTATCTAGTCTTTTCTCAATGACCGGGTACTTTAAGCACTTATTAGAATCTTCACAGTAACCCTCTGTGCACAGTAATTATTATTCTCATTTTACCAATCTACAGCTCTAAAGCTCTAAAGGTAAAGTACCTTGCCTATGGTCCCACAGTCAAGACTCGAACCCAGAGCTTTTTTGCTCCAAATCTGTAATCCTTTCTCAAGATACAATAGCCATTCAAGATCTGAATCTCAAATTTAGGTCAGCTTCAGTCCAATCTCCTTCAGTGGAGGAAGGAGGAGAGAATGGCAGAGATTGGAAGTGTCATAATTTCTATCGCAGTGACCTTGGAGTACTTTTAATCCAAACTGGGGCCTAAGGACCTTGGTCATTTCTTGGCTGTCTATGTTCTTAACTGTGCAGTTGATGTTGGGTAGCTTCTGAATTGAGCCATTCCATTAGACCTATCAAACAAAGTTTGGCTCTTTTTTTTGGTCACTGCCAGGCTTTTTCCAGTAGTAATACTGGAGAATAGATGTAGCCTTCACAAAAACCTTCTGAAGTTCACACAACCATCTTCATTTTATAAATGAGGAACTGAAGTCCAGAGCTTGTAAGTGAGAAAGCTGAAGTTGGAATCCAGGCCTGTTGACTCCATAATAATCCAGTTTCTTGGTGAGTGATTGGTGGGCAAGCATGCTGGGTTGTTGACCTCTGTTCAAGTCACTCATTTTCTTTCTAAATCTAAGAGACTCTTGTTATCTTCATCTTCGGCTCTTAAACTTCATACTCTGACCATTTCCCCAACTGGCTGGGATCGCTCTGACTTCTGTTGATTTTTTTTTTAACATTTATTTATTGAGTAATAGTCATTTTACAATGTTGTGTCAAATTCCAGTGTAGAGCACAATTTTTCAGTTATACATGAAAATACATATATTCATTGTCATTTTTTTTCCGCTGTGAGCTACCACAAGATCTTGTATATATTTCTATTGTTGATTTTTTGAAGAGGTTAGAAACTCCACCAGATTTCGCCCATATATAAAAGTGAAAGAAGCATGCCTGTCCTTCCAGCCTCTGATCAGCGCAGAACACATTTGGAGATCCAATTAGAGCCACTCAAAACTAACAATGCTTTGAAAGCTGGCTATTGATTAGAAATGGGAATGTCAAGTTACCTTTGCCCTAACAATAAGCTCATTACAAGGCACTTCAGAGAGATTCAAGCATTAAAGACCTTGCTTTGATGACTTTGAAAAGGTAGGAAAAGTAGCAGAATTGGTAACAAAGAGAGTATCTTCCCATCAAGTCAGAGACTAAAGACTGTGGGAAACTCTTGTAGACAGAAAGACACTTGCAGACCGAAAGACACACATATAAATATATTTCTGTATATGGATAACACGTTGACTAACTAATGGGCTTTATTTCCACCCCCGTGTCTCTATTTGGGAAGAAATTAGTTGCTTAATGAGAATCTTAGAAGGTATTTGTTCAGTGAATGTTCTGAGGGGAAGGGGTTCTACTCTTTTAATACTCAAGTGATGCTTTGACATGCCTGTCGGCTTTCTGTAACTGGATCTGTACTAGCCAACTCACTCTCTCTCACCTGTCTCTCTTGATCAAGATAACACCCAAAGGATGCCAGGGATCGTTAGCCAAAGAGAGTCAAGAAGGTAGACAGTCACTTGCTTTTTAATAACTTGTGCTCCTAGTTGCTGCAAAATTACAAATTCATTCTGTTATAATTGTAGCTAACAACAACAACAACAAAAAAGG